AACAGAAGAAACAGAACACAACAGAACACAAGCAACACAACACTACAGAACACAAGCAACACAACACTATACAACACAACACTACAGAACACAAGCAACACAACACTATACAACACAACACTACAGAACACAAGGACCACAACACAAGCAACACAACACTACAGAACACAAGGACCACAACACTACATAATACAAGCAACATAAATCATGCAACACACAACACTACATAACACAAGCAACACAACACTACAGAACTCAAGTAACACAACACTATACAACGCAAGTAACACATCACTACAGAACACAAGCAATACTACACTACATAACACAAGAAACACAACACTATATAACACAAGCAACAGAACACTACATAACACAAGCAACACAACACTACAGAACTCAAGTAACACAACACTATACAACGCAAGTAACACATCACTACAGAACACAAGCAATACTACACTACATAACACAAGAAACACAACATTACAGAACACAAGCAACAGAACTCAATCAACACAACAATACAGAACACAACACAGCATAACACAAGCAACATGACACTACAGAACACAAGCAACACAACACTACATAACACAAGCAACACAACACAAGCAACACAACATTACAAAACACAGGCAACAGAACACAACATAACACAAGCAACACAACACCACAGAACACAATCAACACAACTCTGCAGAACACAAGCAACACAACATTACAGAACACAGGCAACAGAACACAGGCAACAGAACACAGGCAACAGAACAACACATAACACAAGCAACACAACACTACAGAACACAAGCAACACAACACTACAGAACACAAGCAACACAACACTACAGTACACAAGCAACACTTCACAAGCAGGGCAGTTTCCTCGCACTATCCTCCTATCTAACTTAATGTTTACAGACATACCTTTGCATGAACCTTCATTTTTCCACCTGTGACCCTCTTTTCCACTTTGCTTCACCCTCTACACCCACCACTGTTCTTCACTAACATCACCTAACACTATACATTCATCAAAATGAACAGCCATTCATCTTCGCTTTCTTTATCACCAAGACTCGCCCATGCAGCTTCACTTTCCTTATCACCAAGACTCGCCCATGCAGCTTTACTTTCCTTATCACCAAGACTCGCCCATGCAGCTTCACTTTCCTTGTCACCAAGACTCGCCCATGCAATTTTATTTTCCTTATCACCAAGACTCGCCCATGCAGCTTCACTTTCCTTATCACCAAGACTCGCCCATTCACTTTCACTTTCCCTATCACCAAGTCCAGCCATGCATCTTCACTTTCCTTATCACCAAGTCCAGCCATGTATGTTCACTTTCCTTATCACCAAGTCCAGCCATGTATGTTCACTTTCCTTATCACCAAGACCAAGTATGCATCTTCACCATATAGATGGTTATCCCAGGGAGTGAGAGGTTGAGAGACTACAAAACAGGAACCATTAGGATGGGAGGACCAAGAGTAGTAGTAGAAGTGATAATTAACCCTCCACAATATGACAGACGACCCTGGCAAGTGTATGAGAGAAGCAACATGACAGATAATGCTATAATTGAGAGGGTAGCCTCTGTTGCCTGTAGAAATCGATCCAATTTGCTTATCTTGGGAGACTTTAACTAAGGAAAGATAGACTGGGAGAACAAAGAACCTAATAAGAAAATAAGAATCTGTGAAACTACAGAAGGCCTATTGACCAACTTAACACCCGTACGAGGCAGCTCCTATTTATATCTACCTCACCTCATTCATATATATGTTTAACCTACGCTTCAAACAACATAAGTTACAGCCCCGCTCCTGTGCCAGGTAAGTTCAACACGGGCCACAATTGCCCGTGCTACTTGGAACGTTTTGTTCCCAGTAGTTGAATGTTAAACAACAACTTAAAACAATCAAGGGATCTTACGTTTATTATATTGCACGGTAATTGACTCCACAAATCGACAACCCTGTTACCAAACCAGTATTTATCCAGGTATTTCCTAAATCTAAACTTATCCATTTTATACAAATTGTTTCGTGTTCAATTATGTGCTGAAATTTTTAATGCCCTATTAATATTCACTTTGTTATGCTATAATGTCATGTCACCAATAATTCTACAGTATGGCAACCAATACTGAACTGCATAATCTAAATGAGACTAACAAGAGTATGATATAGTTGTAGAATAACACCAGGTGTTTTATTTCTAACACTTCGAAAAATATATTTCATTGTCCTATTTGCCTAATTTTGAACATTTATGCATTGAATTTTTGGCTTGAAATTCTTACTAATCATAATTCACATATCCCTTTTGCAATCTCAACACCATCTAGCTCGTATCTTGTAAATCTATCATCATTACTTAGCTTCAATACTTTACATGTGTCAGCATTAAATTACATCTGCCAATTTGTTTACCATTTCAAAACGATATTTAAATCGTCTTGAAATTGTCGGAAATCCGACACATAATAACAACAGCTACCCTTAAAATTCAAAGAACATGAGATTCTGTGACGTCATCAACAACACGTAATATATTAAACTCACATCTCTTTTAAAACTTCAGTCTAGTGTTTATACTTAATAAAATAGTATTCACTAGGACTGAATATAATTACCAACACAAGAAATTTAGCTTGACTCCCTATTCCTTTGAGATATAAATGGAACCAACAAATATTGTTGCAACCAAGCTCCGAGGGAGCTTGGTTCCAACAATATGTGTTGAAGGCAGAAGGAAGGCGTCAGAGACAACTTGTAAACAAACACACGAAGCAAGAGCTCCACGAGAATTGCGACATTCTTCATGCGCGATAGACACCTTACTCTGTCCTAAGTGAACTTACCACGGCAACACCTCAACAATAGGAGCACTTGAGTATCCGACTACCTTACATTCTTTTATTAACTGGTGTACACTAGGTAATATTACTTAGGTAGCCGGTTATACTGAGAGTTTAAAGCTCACACCTAATACGCATTCAGCATTATACATCCCTCTTATTCCATGTCATACTTGTACCTTATATGTTAATGTGCAACCACTAATAATAAACATTCAGCAGAAAACCCTTGATGCAAAGTTACTGAAAGGTTGCATCTGGCCCCACAACATAACTGTGTACTGTACTACGACACCAGCTTGCCCAGGCAGCCATTTTATGCATCCTGGAGCACATGTAGCTACCCCTTACCAGATACTAGGAGAAAATCACAGCTTTAGCAGGCCCCACCTACAGTATCTGCTAAGAAACACTTGTTTTCAGTAGATAATTATTGAAACTGTAGATAGAGTAGTAGTGTTCATAATTTCAGTAGATATAAGAATAATAGTACATTAGGCCACCATATGTGGTATGATTTATAATTTATATTTTGCATAATAAGGTAAGCATGTGCTTACAGGTATCCACTCACAGTGGTGTAAGCAAATGTTCCTCCCATTGTGTGTGATAAGTTGTGGTAGGCTGAATTAGAATATACAGTTCACTAAGATCCAAAATAATATTGAAATTAACTAAAAAAATAGAATAAAAAGAAAAATTGCCTGTTAGGATTTTCCCACAGAAGTTTAGTCTTCGAATCAGGATAGTCTAGTCTAGAGAACCAGACTATTAAAAATAAACCATTAATGCAATATTTACATAGATATTAATTATAGCAGGAAGAGACTGCTTAAAATATTTCTAGCCTAACTATTTCAATCTCTGCTAACAGTGAACAGAACTTACAGCAGGCACTATTATTGTTCCGAGGACTAAACCAAAAGAACAATTGTGCTTTTTCATTATAAGAGGCTAATTTAACCATAAATGTATATATAATTTTAAGTGTTTACATGTAAACATTACATAATATTGCACTTACCAATTACTGCATATATTACAATAATTTTCAGCCATTCCTTATACAGGGGGTAGGACAATATTAGATTGGTGTTCTACAGCAACCTAGTCTAACTTATTTATTGTACTATCCTGGTGAAGGGGTAGAATTTTACACTTGCCTAGAGTTGAACCTATATTACAGCCTAGCAAGTATATATTTTTTATGCAGTACTGATGACAACACGAGTTGTGCTGAATATTTATCAATACGATAGAAATAATTTAACTATAATCATTGCACCTTTGAGTGTTAACTAGTGTCTACACCATCCTAGGGTGATTTTGAGGAGCAAACCTAAAGGTACAACCATAGACAGTGGATTTCACTCAAATCATTAGTGTGTGTATGATAATATATAAGGTATTTTAATTAAATGATAAGTAGCTCTAGTTCAAGTTCTGGTAGCAGCAGCCTAAATCAAAGCCATCAAGACTTGGGCCTACTACAACTGCAGCACGGCTCGCCAATACAGCCATCATATCTACTTCAAAAAATGTAAAAGCGACCCTCGCAGTAATGAAAGGCCATTTAACAAGACATGCGAGGATCTGAGTACAGTTGATCATGTCGAACTGGAGGGCTATCATAAAGTCACAGAAAAGAAATATGAACAAATAAGAAGCCAAATGGAAAATGTGTGGCTGTTCTTACTGACACGGCAATAGACGAAGTAACACTAGTGGCTGTCGTACAGGAACAGGCAGATTATGAAGATGCCAGTCAAACAAAGTTACAACATCTTGTCAAGGTAATAGCCAATTGCAAGGCAACAACAAACATTGCAACCACAGCTTCCCAAAACCCGAAGCAATCAGAGTCAAACTACCATCACTTAGTCTACCAACTTTCTCTGGAAAAGAAGACGAAAATTGGGATAACTTCTGGAACAAATTTTTGGATTCAGTGGATTCTAATGCCAATATTGCTAAGACCACAAAATTTACATATTTACAAGGTGTTTTAGAGAGTGAAGCGTTAAAAGTGGTCTATAATATAACATTGTCAGATGACGGCTATGATAATGCAGTACAGCTCCTTAAGGAAAGTTATGCTAAACCAGAATAAGCTATTAGACTTTTAACACAAAAAATGGTTGATATACCGGCACCAGATGGATCCACTGACTCACTCCAAGCTTTTAGATTGGAGCTTGAGTCCTTACTCAAGGAACTTGACAATAAAGTGAATCTGGATGAATCAGATTGGTTAATCCAATTTCTTATGAAACACAAATTACCCAGTGAAATACTGGATAAGTTGTGTGTTTTACATACCAAATCTTCTCTGACAGTAAAAGAGATTATGGAAGGTTTACGCTCAGTCATAGAAAGACAAAGAGACAACACAGATGGTAAATCAACACCTAAACCTTCATTAACTATCCATAGTAGACAAAAGAGTACAAACAGTACTCAAAATATATCTAAAGCAACTACCTCCACCCCAAGGTGGAAACAAGGCAATGTGGATACATATGCAGTGGGTCCCTCCAAACCTACAGTTAATGTGTCACCCGAAACGGTGACTCCCCAAGGTGCTGTTAACGTCTGGAGGCCATGTCTGTTCTGTGAAGAAGAACATTCCATGTACAACTGCAAAACCTACCCTGATCATGCAACACGTGTAAAACGACTCCAGGAGTTACATAAATGCACCAGGTGTTTAAGATCACATAATCCCGACACCTGTGCAACTCAAATATGCACCTGCAATAGGTGCAATAAGGGTCAACACCATACAGCACTGTGTGGGGATTCAAAGACAAAGTCTCCCAAACCACAAGTGGAGGAAGGAACTTCCACTTCAGTACAGCTCTGTAAAGCACTGCCCGATGTAAGTGTACTATCAACAAAGTCTGATAGTACCCACTGCCCAATTAACCCTTAAAAACAGAAAGTCCAAGGTCACCATACGTGGATTATTTGACCAAGGATTCCAAATGACTTTTATCTCACAAGAGTTGGTAGATGCTTGAAACTCAAGCCTGTACGTGAGACGAGAATAGACATAGCAGGATTCCTGACTCCGGAGTCCAAGTCTTCAAGGTGGCACAGCCTAAAATATGTTTAGGTAGTTATGTCCGAACGATATAAGCCCTTGTAGTAGAAAAATTCCCATCAGACCTGTATGTTTATGGAACAACAGCCTAATTCCTAGAAGAAAAAGGAATCAAATTGGCTGACAAAATCATGCCTGACAACCTCTCCAATATTGGAATCCTTATTGGGTTCAGATGTCTACAATAAGTTCATCAAAGGAAAGGATGAAAAGCAGGGAATGAACCTGTTACTGTCTGCGGGTGGCTATTTGCTAACATGCCCAGTATTACGGTAGAAGCAAACCCATACCTGTGGACCACTGTTATGATCTCAGCCTGCAGTAGAAACAAGTCTCCCCCTTGAGTTATTCAGCAAGACCTGACCTGAACAAGAGGTCACAGAAGTGTGGACATAAAGATATAGATGTAAAATAATTGATTGGATTTGATAGACAGTTTAAGAATATGGGCAGTGAATTAGGATATAGAGAAATGACTGGTTATGAGATGTGGATAATTTGGTGGAGGTGTGAGGCTCGGGAGCTTAAGTCACTTGAGTACCAGATATCGTGAGGGGAAGCTGCGCTCCGTGTGAGCTCCTGTCAGAGAGGATCCCCTGTTTGATATACCTTCAAGAGGAAGGAAGTGTGCAGACGTTCCAGCTGTGGAATCGAGCTGGGAACGTGTGGCCTCAAGTCCTGGACGGCAAGGAGAGTTTGTTAAGCCGCCCAGAGACATTATCGTAGGCCGTGAGAGCACCCTGGTCAGACTCCGTCAGAGGGAGAGCGCCCTGCAGGAGACATTTTTGTGGTAAGCCCAAATTTAGCCAGTTTACAGTGATTGCCTATAGTTGATCGTGTGCCCAGCGATCGTAGAGAATGTTTATTGGTACATTAGGCATATTTTGATAAGGCAGAAAGCCTAAATAAGAGGACGGAGATGGGAGAGACAGCTGGAGGGACAAGCGGCATGTCCTCTCCCGTTGACCGCCTGGAGCCAACTGACTGGCTGGCGGCGAAGGACAGCTCCAGGAGTGAGGAGCCGCCTGCCCCAGGCGGAGGATGAACCAGCCCAAACGGGGGAGTCCACACTCACAGCATGTAGAGAAGAGATAGATGTTGGATGCAAACATATTGTGTGGATTATTTTGTTTATGTGTTTATAAGGAAACATTTTTATTGGTGTGGCAATGGGTTGCAGGTTTGTCTGGGGAAGAGGTTGCTGAGAACTTCGAAGCCAGCAGAGAGGGAGTAGTTGATGAGACTCCAAGGTTGTGGAAGGTACTGAGCTCTGTGGAAGAGCAGTCCCTATAGTGAGGAGTTGGACCTCTACCTGTGAGAGGAGAAGCAGTGGAGCAGAGTTTACATGCTTTTGTGATACCAGTGGTGAAGCACCATTGTTGATCAAGGAAGACTTCATGGTGTAGCAGCCAGGAAAGCTGTGGAGGACCCTGGTAGAAGTGGTGAAGCACCTTCGTTGTTCAAGGAAGACTTCATGGTGTAGCAGCCTGGAAGAGCTGCGGAGGATCCTGGTAGATAAACCCAGAAGAACCTGAAGATGTCAGGGTAGTGAGCTTCCAGATGTGGAAGGGAAGTTCTGGTTGATTACTTGTAGGGAGTTGCTAGAGTGTTTGGTTGTCATTAGCGTGCAAGACGCAGTGAAAGGTGAGTGATTGTTTGCCATTTTTGTGCCGAGGAGTACTTATACTGAAGTATAGGGTTACAGTCGTAGGGTGGATTACCTGCAGAGACATACATATGTGTTCTAGGACTGATTGGGGGATCGATTGATCATTGTTGTATATCAAGGAACAATTATACTAATATTTATGTTATTGCAGCCATACGCAGGTTTTCCTTGTATGTGTTTATAGAAATATATTCTCTTGCTGATAGTGCAACATTATGTTATAAGACTTGACCTACTTGAGGAGGATGGTAGTATTAGGTGGTGAATCAGGAGATAGTATACCGCTTGATAAGCAGATGATAGAGTTCTGATGGTATTTATTTATTTATATATATACAAGAAGGTACATAGGGTTTGTGAGAATACATTGGGTAGTACAGTATTTACATTCTTGTAAAGCCACTAGTACGCGCAGCGTTTCGGGCAGGTCCTTAATCTAGCAGATAATTTTAAGTAGGTAATTTCAATCAGAATTGATAAATGAAAGATACATTACAAGAGAAAAATGAGATGAGAGAGATAAGTAAGTATATTAAAGCACATTGTTCTATTAAAGCTCTGATTGATTACATTGACAGCTTGATTAGTAATTTAAACAAGATTAATAGACACCATACAGCAGATTGACAGCACATATAAGACAGCAATGATCTCAATGGTAAAGATGTTCAGAATGGGTACATAAAGATTGGGAGACTGGGTAGCAAAAGATACAGATAAACAAGATTTATAAACACCATACAACAGATTGGCAACACATATAAGAAAACAGCAATGATCACAATGGTAAAGATGTTCAAATTGGGAACATAAAGGTTGGGAGATTGGGTAGCAATAGATACAGTGCAATTTTAAGGCAAAAAGTGAAAAACTATGAAGATGAAATTAGGTACTTTTTAGTATTGATTTTGAATGATGTAAAAGTTGGACAGCTTTTCAATTCAGTAGGGAGTGAGTTCCATAAACTGGGTCCCTTTATTTGCATAGAGTGTTTACACAGATTAAGTTTAACTCTGGGGATATCGAAGAGATATTTATTTCTGGTGTGGTGATAATGGGTCCTATTACATCTGTCCAGGAAGAGTTTCAGACAAGGATTTGCATTTAAGAACAGGGTTTTGTAAATGTAGTTGACACAAGAGAATTTGTGGAGTGAGATTATGTTTAGCATGTTTAGGGAGTTAAACAAGGGGGCTGTGTGTTGTCTGAAAGCAGAATTTGATATTATTCTGATAATATCAGAATAGTCAGAATAGTCAGTATAATATCAGAATTTACTCAGTCAAGGGCTGAGTAAATTATATCAAGGAGACTAATAATTGCATCGTTGGTACTCTTTTGAGAGCGGAAGCCAAACTGACAGGGGCTAAGAATGTCAAATTTTACGAGATAGGAGTAGAGCTGTTTGTAGATAATTTTTTCAAATATTTTTGATAGTATGGGTAGGTTCGATATTGGTCTGTAGTTGTTTATGTCTGACGGATTACCTCCTTTATGAACTGGCGTTACTCTTGCGTTTTTAAGGATATCAGGGAAGGTATGAAACTCAAGGGATTTGTTGAACAGCAGAGCTATAGGTGGTGCAAGGGCATGGGAGGCGCTCTTGTATACAATGGATGGGATTTCACTGATGTTCCCAGCTTTGGTTTTTAGTGAGTGTATGATGGACACAACATCTGACGGGCTGACTGGTGAGAGGAGAAGAGAGTTTGGATAGCTGCCTGAGAGATATGTGTTGATATGTGTCTGAGTCTGTGGGATTTTACTTGCAAGGTTAGCACCAATCGATGAAAAGAAGCTATTAAATTCATTCGCCATTTCTAAGTCAGATGACAGTGTAAGGCCATTCTTAGAGAGTGTTATCTGGTTGTGGGAGTGTTGTTTAGTTCCCAGGATGTTAGAGATGGTATTCCATGTGCTTTTCATGTTGCCTTTTGCTTCTTTGAATCTAGTTTCATAATACGAAAGTTTTGCTTTTCTTATGATACTGGTAAGCAATGATGAGTACCTTTTAACTACTTCCATTGAAACTAGGCCACCCCTAAATTTCTTTTCGTATTCATGTTTTTTGTTGATTGATTTAATTATGCCACTTGTGAGCCATGGGTTATTTTTTCTTTTATCAGTTACTTGTTTGGTAAGGAGGGGACAGTGAGTGTTGTAGAGGCTTAGAGTTTTGGAGAGAAAGAGGTTAGTTGATGAGTTTATATCCTGTGAATTATTAAATTCAGATTCCCAGTTAATATTGTGAAGTGCATTAGAGAGATTGCCTAAAGCTGATTCACTATGTAGCCTGAATGAAAGTTTTTTGGTTTCTGGTGGTGCTGTGTCAATGTTTGCTATGAGGAAAGTAGGATAGTGGTCAGTTGTTCTGTCATAAATTACCCCAGATGTAAGGGGAGCTGTTATATTAGTCCATAGGTGATCCAGGGTAGTGGCAGATGTTTGAGTGACTCGGGTGGGCTTGGTGATTGTGGGGATTAGCATACAGGAGTGCATGCTGTTACGGAAATAGTCAACTTGAGGGTTGTTTTGAAGACCCAGGTCAATATTGAAATCACCTCCCAGAATGATGTGATTTTTGTTGAGATTGTTATTTATGATAAGATTCCTTACATTGTCAGAGAATAAAGCTATGTTGGTATTAGGAAATCTATAGATGGCACCGATTATCAGGGAGGATTTAAGGGATTTACTGGAGAACTTGGCAAAGGTATATTCACAATAGTCGTCTCTATCACTAATGACACTATTGCAAGTGAAGGTATCTTTGTAATATATTGCTGTACCGCCACCTTTTTTGTTAGGCCTGCAGTTATGAATGGCTTTATAACCAGCTAAATTGTAGAGTTGGGTATAGTCATTACTTAGCCAAGTTTCTGTTAAAATGATGAAAGATAATTTAGTACCTAGTGCTGTAAGTAGTGCATTTATATCATCAAAATGTTTACCAAGTGACCTAACATTTTGGTTGTAAACTGATAAGCAGGTGCTATTTAGGAGTTTGTTTTTTGCAAGATTTGCTGTGTAATACCTGCAATAATGATGATCAATGTGCTGATTTGTGTGGATATGGGACAGAAGATTTCGATCAGGATCAATATCAGTAAGCATATAGATAAGATAATGTCACGATACAATAAGATAAGCAATTACAGGA